GATTGGCACAGAACAGAGAGGAGTTTAGGGCTGTTGTACATAGGGTCGCTATGAATCGCAAGCGACTCGATGGCACATAACAACAACAACAACAATACATCTATTGATTATTATTTTTTACACTGCTTTAAGCTTGGATGTTGATTGTCGTTAGAAGTAAAATGAAGTCATTGACACATTGACAGCTTCAATCTTTTCTCCATCTATCTATCATGATATGGACTATTGGTCCAATGGTGAGGATTTTGTTTATTAGATGTTGAGATACAATTAATAATGAAGGCTTTAATCTTTAGTTTTATTCAAGTATTTCAAGTTCTCTTCACTTTCAGCAAAGGTATGTAATCTGCATAATACAAGTTGTTTTTCTTAATCTATAAAAGGATACAATTTATTTTACGTACTCCAGAAATAATTTTTTTTTAAAAAAAGGACAGCATAAAAAACTGAGTGATAGACATATGGGGTTCATACACTCTTGTTTTCCTTTTAGGGTACTTAGGAACATTTCTCTAATAAAAAGTATTTTGAGGAAAAGGGACATTTGCTTGTGAAAGACACAATTTATTGTGGACTGCCTTTTTCTAATGTGCAAAACAGTATTTTGTGAGCCTGACTTCTTCCTTAACCCCCATCGCACCCCTGTCCAACAAAAATAAGATGATTTTTTTGTTTTGTTTCAGTTATTGCACGTCAGTTATTGATGAATCTTTCTCCAATCCTGAAGCCACATTCTTCTCTATATTATCCAACTATTTGAATGATTTGTTCAGCATACAGACTGAATAGATATAAAGAAAGAATACAACACTTATGCACATCTTTTCTGATTTTAAAACTTAGTCCCCTTGTTCTGTTCAGACAGCAACCTCTTGGTTTCACATGAATACAATTAATTGTTCTGGGGTTCCTATTTTTCTCAGTGCAAACCATAATTTGTTATGATCTATTCAGTAAAATGCCTTTCATAGTCAGTAAAACGCCTTTTCATAGTCAGTAAAACACATTTAAAACCCTTCTGCTTTCTCCATTTTCAGCCCAGATCCAGCTTACATCAGCCATAATATCCCTCATGCCATGGCTTCTGAATCCAGCTTGAAATGATGGCAGTCCCCTGCCAATGTACTATTCCACACATTTTTTTTTCATAATCTTCAGCAATATTTTACTAGCATGTGATTTCAATGATACTGTTATATATATCCTGATGGATCGTCTTTTTTGGGTATGGAAGCAAATACAGTTTTTTTCCAGTCATTTAGACAAGAATCTATCTTCTATTTTTTTTAATTGATTTGTTTATAAAATTCAGTATACATTGAATTTTACACTATTCTTCGTTCACACTGTGCTTCTTGTAATCATGCTCATGCATTATGTTTCATAAAATCAATCACCATTGGAACTTGCCCATTATTACCCTGTCTTTCCACCTGGATCCTTCCCCTTTCCTTGCCACCCTCCCTCCACCAACTATACTGCAACCTGTGGGTTTTGCCCCTACCCATCCTCACCCCTCCACTCCTACCTTGAGTTCCAATACATATTTTAATGGTTACCCTTCTATTTTTACAATAATGGTCTTATACAGTATTTGTCCTTATGAGACTGCATTAGTTCACTCAGCATAATGCTCTCTAGTCTTTCCCAAGTTACATAGGATTTTTCAAATCGTTACTCCTGCTTGTTGCATAGTAGTCCATTGTGTCAATGTACCATAATTTCTCAGTCCATTTGGTTGTGGTTGGACATTGGGCTGTTTCCATGTTATTGTGATGGTGAATAGTGCTGCTATGAACATTGACGTCATCAGGAGCAAGTTCATAGCAATAGAAAAACACATAAAAAAACAAAGAAGCAAAATTAATGATGTAACTAAACATATTCATCAAATAGAAAAAGAACAACAATCTAAGCCCACAGCCACTAGAAGAAAGGAAAGTAAAAGAACATGAGCTGAAATCAATGAGATAGAAAACAGAAAAAAATTTAAACCATCAACAAAACCAAGAGCTGGTGTTTCAAATTTCTTGACATAATGTAGTGAGCACATCCAGAGTTGCCTCTGTTTATTGAACCATGTCAGCTGGTACTCTATCAATTACCGGGGCCTTATTTTTTTCCTATACCTTCACTGCAGCTTTAATTTCTTTCTTCATTACCGTTAGTTCTTGACTGTATGGTACCTCCTGAAATATTTCAGTATAGGCAAATTAGTTTTGGTACAGTGACTCTATGTATTCTATCTTCTTTTAATGCTTCTGGTATCATTCAAGATTTTGCTCATAGAATCCTTCAGTTTGCAACTTGAATCTTGAATTTCTTTTTCTACTCTTTCGACCCAAGATATGTCAAATATATCCTTTGCTTTCCATTTCTCTAACTTCAGCTACTTGCACATTTTGTTGTAATAATTCATCTTTTTAAAAATTGCCCTTTGAAATCTTCTGTTCATCTCTTTTACTTCATCATTTCTTCCTTTGTTTTGGCTTCACTGCATTCTAGTGCAATTTTCAGAGTTTCTTCTCACATTTATTTTGGCCTTTTCATCTCCACTGTCTTTGCAGTGTTTTACTTTCTTCTTAGATGATATTTTTGATGTTACCAACAACTTCTGTGATCTTCAATCTTTAGTATTTAGTGTCTCAAGTATTTTATTGAGATAGCATTTACATTCATTTGGGATGGGCCTAAGGTAATATTTTGGTTCTTGTGAATTCGTTTTTGTTTTCTGCATATGGTAGTGTATTTCATACAGTGGTTTCTATTATGAAAAGTGGTTTTTGCTGAGTATCTTTTTACCTGTTAATATCAGTGTTGAGTTTATATATATGTATATATACATATACATATATATGTGTGTGTGTGTGTGTGTGTGTGTGTGTGTGTGTGTGTGTATTTTAAAAAGTCTGGTGATACAATGTGGTATATGTTGGGTTGATCTGCTAGCCCCACTCCATGAGAAACGAAACATAGTCTGCTCCCAGGAGACTTACAATCTTTTCAACTTAAGTGAAGGTAGAGTGAGTCAGCATTGACCCAACAGAGGCAGAGGTGTATGTTGAAATCACTCAGGAACCATTTCAAATGTCATTAAAGTCAAGTAGCACATCTTATCAGAGTCATCACAGTGTCTTGGACTGGAACCGAGGCATCACCAAAGCATTCTGGGTAATTCCAATATGTAGCTAAGGTTGACATCCTCTAAATTAGATAGATTTTCTCAACGAAGGCAGCACAGTAAATATACTATTTCTTTTTTCCCCATTCTGATTTATGCAACTTGTTTACAAAAGTTGACTACAAGAAAAATATAAGATTCAGGTCACTGAATGGTTGGGCTCCGGTTAATCAAGTTTTAGTATACATCTGTGTATGTGATGGTATTCAATAAAAGTTAAATAGAGACCCCTAATCTCACAGCTGAGTCAAGAATAATAAAATATGTTCCCTTTTAGAAGTAAACTGTTTGTGTATTTGAAGTAATTATCTGGAAAAGCTATCATTTTTTCAAAATTGCCCTCCTAGGTAATTTACCTCAAATGGTAAGCCTTGTATTTTAAGATAATACTGTATTTCAACTATATTTTTCACAGTAATACCAGGTCTATGTTTATCTTATAGCAGTTTCATAATTCTCTCCAAGGAAACTGACAGGAAATAAGATTAAGAGACTGAGGATAAGATTTAAACCAGCCTCCCACTTGGAAATGTGTAAGAAGCTATTGCACTTCTGGGTCTTGAGAATACTTGTACTTTATAAAATAGAGCAATAGTACTTTCCTGCTTTGACTATGGCAAAATATATACAGAAAAGACACTTAATGCTGGTAACTGGAGCATAAATGAACCATGTGTCTAATGCAACAGATACAGGAAAAGCAAAATATTTGTATTTATCATTTGTTTTTAGATGACAGGAATTAGTAATTAGAATAACATGATTCTTATTAGCATGAAGTTACTGACAATCTCTTATCACAGAAATGTTCACTAACCAAAACTTTTAAAAATTATTATTAAAGATAGTCAAAATTCTGCATGTTTCGACAATAACTATTAACATGCTCAAAAAAACTTCATAACCTTTAAGTCAAAACTGAATCATAGCTAACCCTTTATTGAGTTTCTGATGCTGTAAGTCACGTGGGAGGAGACTGTTCATCCTTCACCCCTAAACCTGTTAATGGGTTCGCACTGTTAGAGAAGCCTGGCCATTGGTTCAACAGTGTAATTCCCTGTGTACTAAGCAAGCATAAATGTTCAGTGCTGTATTTAATCCTTAAAAATTCCTAACTGAAAATGGAAATGCAAGGTTTATTTAATTTAACTTTCTTATTCTTACACAGTTGTTTTAATTTTTTTTTTTTTAGGACCACCTCAGAAAATAGTGTCACCCAAACAAGAACATGAAGATAGGAAGCATGACAAAGTTACAGATAAAGGAAGTGAGAGTGGAACCTCCTGTAATGAGCTCTCCACTTCCAGCTGTGACAGCCACTCAGAGGCGAGCACTCCACAGGACAACCCAGCCAACGCCCAACAGGCAACAGCTCACCAACCCAATACCTTAACGTTAGATCGTCCTTCCAAAAAAGCACCTGTGCAGTGGATGCCTGCACCAGACAAACGCAGAAACAGTGAACTCTTTCAGACCCTCATCAGCAAGTCTCGGGAAACAAATCTTTCAAAAAAGAAAGTCTGTGAGAAGCTAAGTGTGGAAGAAGAAATGAAAAAATGCATTCAGGATTTTAAAAAAATCCACATCCCAGATTATTTTCCAGAGCGCAAACGTCAATGGCAGTCTGAACTGTTACAGAAGTATGGGTTATAGTAATTATCTCAGTCTTGCAATGAGTATCTCAGTATTTCAATGACGTTCAATGTTTACCACAGTGTCACCACCTGACTGATGTCCTAACACCAGTCAGTGTGATTCTTGCTGCTCTTCCTATTTGTGAACAGTGGATGTAGGGCAATATTTTATTTCACTACTTTGTTCATTTTTAGAAGTATATTACAAAGGGAAAAGTGAAACATAAATTATTGAATCAAAATGGTGTATCTTATTCAAACCGTTTTGCAAGAATGAAAGTAAAAATGTGCATGATCAAGAATCTTAGAATCTTGATTGTTGAACTGTGATCAAACTGGACATGTTTATAATTTTGTAACTCATGACAAACAAATCATCCTGTCTCATCAACTCAAATGACAATATGGATGAAGTAAATTTTGAGTAAAAATGTAGACGGTGGTTATAGGATCCAAATCCCAAACTGTTTAAATGTTAATGCAATAAAACAAGTATTATTTTTTGCATGAGCACAATGTTACAAATAAATCACATGAAATAGGGAAGATTTGTTGCTTGGAAAGACAATAAAATTACAAAAAAATAAAGAAAAAAAATATGTTCCAGGTCTATAAATGTAAATGTCGAAGGAATCGGTTTTCCTTTGTTCTGGATCTGTGATTTTTTTGTGTATATGTATGGTGTTCTGTATGTTAAGATGGTGTAAATATGCCTTATATTGTGTATGGCACTGACATTTCTCTATTGATGCTAGTCATGATTATTTCTGTGAAATGAGTCCTTTACATCAGGCTGTGAAAATTGGTATAATGATGCTCTTAAAGATCCTATTATCATGTTAATTAAAATAATCAAAGGAAAATGGTAAAAAGCTTTATGTATTTATTAAAAAAGGAAAATGTATTAGAATTATGATTTCTTTCTATTGACTCTTTTTTAAAAGATTCAACTGTTATATTGTTTTCAATTTTTCTCTAATTCCTAGATTGTAAAAGGATCTTTCTAACTTAATGTTGGCAAGTTAGAATACAAGACAGAGTCAGATTCAGATAGCCCTTTTATTGGTTAATAAACTCTTATCCACAAAACAAAAATACCTCATCTGAGAATGCATAAAATTTTATTTTAGGTGACAACCAGATTCACAGCTTCTCCAAATAAAATTGGAAAATTCTGTCTTACTCATTAAGGAGGGAAAATGTCAATAGCAAGTTAAAAGGTCTGCCTACATCAAAAAGTTTCTTTTCCAAATGCATATATAGAAACAGGTTTATTTTCATAAACCATCAAGATCTTGTCTTGCCATATCCATAGAAACAAATGTTGTTGTTGTTGTTGTTGTTGTTGTGTGCCATCGAGTTGAGTATGACTCACTGCAACCCTATGAACAAACAGATCTGAACCCTGTCCTATCCTTGTGCCATCATACTTCCAGAAACAGTACATCTCTTTGCAAGAGTCATGGTGACAATCCACATGGTGGAGGGTCTTCCTCTCCTTCGCCAACCCTCCATAGTTCCCACCATCATGTCTCTCTCCAAGGAATAGCTCCTCCTAGCAACATCCTCAAAGTATGTGAGGTGAAAAATCATCATCTTTGCCTCCTCCAAAAAAACCACTCTGGCTGCATGCTCTACAAGACATATATTTTCTTTTGACAATCCATGGGATATTCAATACTCTTCTCCAACACCAAAGCTCAATTCTTCTTTTGTTATCCCTCTTCATTGTTCAGCTCTCAAATGAATAATAAATGATCAGAAAGACCATGTCCTGAATCAGGCACACCTTAGCCATCAAACTGCTATCACTCCTCAATATACATGGGATATGTGATACATGAGGCATGGAAATTAAACCAATTATTCCTTCAATGAAGAATCTGTGACTTAGTAGCATAGCTGAACAGGTTTGGAGATAGAATACATCCCTAATATACTCCTTTCCCAATTCCAGATCATGCAGTGCTCCCTTGCTCTGTTATTACAACAGGTGCTCTGGAATTCCTATTCTTCACAATGTCAGCCACAACTTGTCATGATGCACACAGTCAAACACATTTTTATCGTCGATAAAGCACAAATAGACCTTCTTCTGGCATTCCTTAATTTCAGCCAGGATCCATCTGGCATCAGCAATGATATCCCCTGTGCCATGGCCACTTCTAAATCCACCTTGAACTTCTGGAAATTCCCTACCTATGTACTGTTCCAGCCATTTTTTAATTATCTTAAGCAGTATTTTCTTGCATGTGATATCAGTGATTGTTGTTGTTGTTATCTGCCGTCGAGTCAATTGTGCCTCATAGCGACCCTGTGTACAACAGCCCTAAACTCTGCTCTGTCCTGTGCCAATCACACTGTCTCTGATACACCCATCCTGATTACCCCAGTCACTGAATCAATCCACCTCATAGAGGGCCTTCCCCTCCTGCACTGTCCCTCCACCCTCCCAAGCATGATGTCCTCTCCAAGGACCAGTCTCTCCTTACAACATGTCCAAAGTATGTTAGATGAAGCTTCAGGATTCTTGCCTCCAAGGAGCCACCCGGTTTAACCTTCTCCAGGATGAATCTGTTTGTTTTCCTATCAGTCCATTGTTCAATAATTTCCACATTCATTTGGATCACCCTTCCTGGTAATAGGGCAAATATGGACCTCTTCAAATCTGTTGGCCAGATAGCCATCCTCTAAATTTCCTGGCATAGACTGGTCAGTGCATCCAAGGCTGCATCTGTTAAGTGAAATATGTCAATTAGTATCCCTTTGATTCCTGGGGTCAGATATGTCTTGGAGAGGGTTGATCCAGAGTGCTCTTTGGAGACAAGGAATGGTGAGGCTTCACCTCACATACTTTGGACATAATGTTAGGAGGTGCTTTTCCTTGGAGAGGGACATGATCTTGGAAACGCTGGAGGGTTGGCAAAAGAGAGGAAGACCTTCCACCAGGTGGATTGACGAGATGACTACTACAATGGGCTCTTGTGTGTCAGGAAGTGTGATGATGGCGCAGGACAGGACTAGTTTCAGATCTTTTGTTCATAGGTTCGCTATGAGGTGTTCTTGACTCAACAGCACCTAACAACAACAAGAAGAATAGTAGATAGTGAGTTGTGTTACTAAACAAGCTCAAAGACTTTGAGTCTTTAACAGTAAAATCTATCAGTGGCCATGCAGGAGAAAGAAAGATAGAGAGATGTGATTTACATCCACTTATGGTTTACAGTCTTCAAAACACACTGGAGGGCCTCTGTTAGTTGGAATCAACTCTGTGGAATAAGAATAAGCCTAAACTGTTCTTTTTGGATTCTCAAACTATAAGTAGATTTTTCGCAAACCAATTACTAAGTTATTTACTAAGACTTTATCCTTTACTTGAAATTATCACCATTATTATTCCCTACTTATAAACATTTTAATTCACTTTTTGAAGTCATATCTATACTACAAAGTTTCACTTAGGAGCTCTGGTGGCCTACTGGCATGGAGCTGCACTGCCAACCAAAAGGCATGTAGTTTGAATCAACAGTTTGTTCATAGGAGAAAGATCTCCTCCTGGGCACTTAATTGCCTCTGAAAACCTAGTGGAGGATAAGCCATGGCTCAGTTTTGACTCAATGGTACACAACAACAACTCAAAATTTTCACTTCATTTATCCTGGTGGAAGTATTCCATTATGGCATATCTTTAGATATGCTTTAGCTTAGCTAAGTCTTTGGAGCTCCCTCTTTTTCTATTCCTGTCATTTTTTATGCCATGTAGAATATTGATGTGGGTGATTTTTTTTCTTTTCCATCAGATTGAAAGATATTTCATATAAGATAATATATTTTCTTTGAATGAGGAAAAAATAGACAGCTATGACATATGCTATTGTTGTTGTTATGTGCCATCGAGTCGTTTGCGACTCATAGCGACCCTATGTACAACAGCCCTAAACTCTGCTCTGTCCTCTGCCAATTGCACTGTCTCCAACACTCCCATCCTGATTACCCCGGACACTGAATCAATCGACCTCATAGAGGGCCTTCCCCTCCTGCACTGTCCCTCCACACTCCCAAGCATGATGTCCTCCTCTAAGGACCAGTCTCTCCTTACAACATGTCCATAGTATGTTAGATGGAGCCTCAGAATCCTTGCCTCCAAGGAGCCACTCGGTTTAACCCTTTCCAGGATGAATCTGTTTTCCTAGCTGTCCATGGTACCCTCAATACTCTTCTCCAGCACCACAGCTCAAAGGCATCAATTCTCCTTCTATCCTCCTTGGTCATTGTCCAACTCTCTGATGCATAACAGGTGATTGCAAAGATCATGGCCTGTATCAGATGCACCTTAGTCTCCAGAGAGAAGTCATTGCTCTTCAGTACTTTGGAGAGGCCGTTACCAGCAGACTTTCCCATGGAAATGCGCCTTTTAATTTCCTTGCTACTGGTACCAAGAGTGCCAAAAGAGCTCTGACATATAGTAAAAATTAGTGATTTGTGTAGACAAACATATTTAAATGTAATAACCTACTCAATAATTATTAACAGTCATTATATTGATAGTGAATAAGACTCACATATCCTGCTAAATAGTTAGGTCTTAAATTTTTTCTCCTTTCCTACAGTATTTACCTTCTATTAATAGGATAAGTATTTAGCTTATGACCTTGAATATTAGTGATTTATAGTTCAGTTTAGTTAAACATTACAAGAATTTATGCTCATGAAGAAACAGTACAGTTTGGACAGCTTTCAGATAAAATCCATAAACTTAAATATATTTCATTCAATTATTCTCTTTCTCCATTCCGCATACCTAGAAAGTCTTTATGAATATCATATGTAAGAGTAAAATTTAAAGAATTTTAAAAGTCATATTCTCTAATATTTGTGTTTTCTCTCTAAGTGAATTTAAAGTAGTATATGAACATTTTAGCTTGCTACCCCAGGCAATGTGCTTTAGTGGATGTGTTAGAGATAAAGCAATGGATAAAAGTTCTAAGAGTCTATAGGTTTAATTTCAACCTTGAGACA